TGGCACTGGTGAGAACACTGAGCGTTCGGGTAAAATGATTGTTGTTGTTGTTGTTGTTGTTGTTGTTGTTGTTCTTCTTCTTCTTCTTCGAGAGGAGGAGGAGGAGGAGGACGAGCGGGGACAGGGGGGAGGAGAAAGTGCGCCCCCTAGCTGGCTGAGGACGGCCTCCGACGTTTTGTGCTGATGTATTTTCCCAACCATCCTGTGGTGTTGGGTCCTCGTTTTGAAGAGACGGTGCCCCGCGTTCCTCTCCTCTCCTCTCCTCTCCTGTCCTCTCCTCTCCTCTCCTCTCCTCTCCTCTCCTCTCCTCTCCTCCTCTCCTCCCCTCCTCTCCTCCTCTCCTCTTCACCCACCCAGTACACCGTTACGTGGCTCCATAGGGAGCTCCACCGAAGGCCCCAGTGCCCGCGCCCGCATGCGTCACCCACACCCATTTCGGCACACCCCTCACACGTTTCGTGGCTCCATAGGGAGCTCCACCGAAGGCCCCAGTGCCCGCGCCCGCATGCGTCACCCACACCCATTTCGGCACACCCCTCACACGTTTCGTGGCTCATAGGGAGCTCCACCGAAGGCCCCAGTGCCCGCGCCCGCATGCGTCACCCACACCCATTTCGGCACACCCCTCACCTTTCGTGGCTCCATAGGGAGCTCCACCGAAGGCCCCAGTTCGTGCGCTCCATAGCATGCGTCACCCACACCCATTCGGCACACCCCTCACACGTTTCGTGGCCCATAGGAGCTCCACCGAAGGCCCCAGTGCCCGCGCCCGCATGCGTCACCCACACCCATTTCGGCACACCCCTCACACGCTTCGTGGCTCCATAGGGAGCTCCACCGAAGGCCCCAGTGCCCGCGCCCGCATGCGTCACCCACACCCATTTCGGCACACCCCTCACACGTTTCGTGGCTCCATAGGGAGCTCCACCGAAGGCCCCAGTGCCCGCGCCCGCATGCGTCACCCACACCCATTTCGGCACACCCCTCACACGTTTCGTGGCTGCATAGGGAGCTCCACCGAAGGCCCCAGTGCCCGCGCCCGCATGCGTCACCCACACCCATTTCGGCACACCCCTCACACGTTTCGTGGCTCCATAGGGAGCTCCACCGAAGGCCCCAGTGCCCGCGCCCGCATGCGTCACCACACCCACCCATTTCGGCACACCCCTCACACGTTCGTGGCTCCATAGGGAGCTCCACCGAAGGCCCCAGTGCCCGCGCCCGCATGCGTCACCCACACCCATTTCGGCACACCCCTCACACGTTTCGTGGCTCCATAGGGAGCTCCACCGAAGGCCCCAGTGCCCGCGCCCGCATGCGTCACCCACACCCATTTCGGCACACCCCTCACACGTTTCGTGGCTCCATAGGGAGCTCCACCGAAGGCCCCAGTGCCCGCGCCCACATGCGTCACCCACACCCATTTCGGCACACCCCTCACACGTTTCGTGGCTCCATAGGGAGCTCCACCGAAGGCCCCAGTGCCCGCGCCCGCATGCGTCACCCACACCCATTTCGGCACACCCCTCACACGTTTCGTGGCTCCATAGGGAGCTCCACCGAAGGCCCCAGTGCCCGCGCCCGCATGCGTCACCCACACCCATTTCGGCACACCCCTCACACGTTTCGTGGCTCCATAGGGAGCTCCACCGAAGGCCCCAGTGCCCGCGCCCGCATGCGTCAGCCACACCCATTTCGGCACACCCCTCACACGTTTCGTGGCCCCATAGGGAGCTCCGCCGAAGGCCCCAGCGCCCGCGCCCGCATGCGTCAGCCACACCCATTTCGGCACGCCCCTCACGCGTTCCGTGGCCCCATAGGGAGCTCCGCCGAAGGTCCCACTGGGTGTGCCCGCATGCGTCCCGCACACCCATTTCGTCACACCCCTCACACGTTTCGTGGCCCCATAGGGAGCTCCACCGAAGGCCCCAGTGGGTGTGCCCGCATGCGTCCCGCACACCCATTTCGGCACACCCCTCGTACGTTTCGTGGCCCCGTAGGGGGCTCCACCGAGAAGATATTCACAATTGCAGCATTCACAATTGCATATGGTTGGGTCCTTCGCCAAGATAATTCTTCGATGATTCGATGTGAATCGATTTCGATGTTCCGACGGCTCGATCCGATTCGATTTTAATTTTCGAGAGAGCGTGATCCACCGCCGCTTTGCTGTGGAAAATGACCCCCCTCTTCCTCCAGAACCTGGGGGTCCCCCCCCCTCCGAAAATCCCGCCTTTCCTGCTCGAATCCCCTCCCTCCGCCGGCAAGAACCCCCCCAAACCGCCATCCCCCCCTAGAAAACCGGGAGGGGTCACTACCTGTTCGAACCCCCCCCTGCCCATTCGCCGCCGGCAAACGACTCCCGGGGCACCATCGTCCTCACCACCGCCCTCACCACTGTCCCCACCACCACCTTCCCTGCCGCTGGTCCCATTGTCCCCACTGTCCCCACCACTGTCCCACTGTCCCCACTGTTCCCATTACTGTCCCCACTGTCCGCACCAGTGCCCCCATCACGGTCCCACCCTCCCCACTGTCCCCACCACTGTCCCCACCACGGTCCCACTCTCCCCAGTGTCCCCAGTGTCCCCACCACTGTCCCACTGTCCTCACTGTCCCCATCACTGTACCACCGTCCCTAGTGTCCCCACCACTGTCTCACTGTGCTGTCCCACTGTCCCCTCTGTTCCCACCACTGTCCCAGTGTCCCCACCACTGTCCCCACTGTACCACTGTCCCATTGTCCCACCACCGTCCTCACCATCGCCCTCACCACTGTCCTCACAACCACCGTCCCCACCACTGTCCCACTGTCCCCACTGTCCCAAAAACTGTCCCACTGTCCCCACTGTCCCCGCCAGTGCCCCCACCCCGGTCCCACTCTCCCCACTGTCCCCACCACTGTCCCACTGTCCCCACCACTGTCCCACTGTCCCCACTGTCCCCACCGCTGTCCCACTGTGCTGTCCCACTGTCCCCACTGTCCCGACCACTGTCCAACTGTTGTCACTGTTTTCACACTGTCCCCACTGTACCACTGTCCCATTGTCCAGCCACCGTCCTCACCACCTCCCTCACCACCGTCCCCACCACCACCGTCCCCACTGTCCCACTGTCCCACTGTCCCCAGCACTGTCCCACTGTCCCTCGCCACTGTCCGCACCAGTGCCCCCACCACGGTCCCACTCTCCCTATTGTCCCCACCCACTGTCCCACTGTCCCCTCGCCACTGTCCCCACCCACTAGTCCCACTGTCTTTTTTCTTTTTCTTCTTTTTCTTTGCCGCAGCTCAAGAAGCCTAGAACTTCAGCTGTTTCCACTCTACTGCAATAGGGCTGCTGCCTCCCGGGAGGCCTCATCTAACGCTACAGCTTCTGCTTCGAATACTGTCACCGGAAGCTCCAGAAAAGTGCCGTGCACGACCAACGGTTCAAAGAAGTAATCGCCGTGTTCGCCGCCCTCTCGTTTGCCCCAGAGCCCGATGATGAAGGATGCTGCCGCGCAGTCTCCCTCTCGAAGCCCCCCGTCTGTCTGGATGACCACGTCCCCACTGTCCCCACTGTCCCCGCCACTGCCCCACTGTCCTCACTGTTCCCACAACTGTCCCCACTGTCCCCACCAGTGCCCCCACCACTGTCCCACTGTCCCCCCTGTCCCCACCAGTGCCCCCACCACGGTCCCACTCTCCCCTGTGTTCGCACTGTCCCCACACCGGTCCCCACTGTCCCCACCATTGCCCCATGTCCCCACCACTGTCCCACTGTCCCCTCTGTTCCCACCACTGTCCCACTGCCCCCACTGTCCCCACCGCTGTCCCACTGTGCTGTCCCCACTGTCCCCACCTCTGTCCCACTGTCCCCGCTGTCCCTACTACTGTCCCCACCACTGTCTCCACTGTCCCCACCAATGTCCCCACTGTTCCAACCACTGTCCCCACTGTTCCCACCAGTGCCCCCACCACCGTCGCACTGTCCCCACTTTCCCCACCACTGTCCCCACCGCTGTCCCACTTTCCCCACTGTCCCCACTACTGCACCACTGTCCCACTGTCCCCACTGTCCCCACCACCATCCCCAACACTGTCCCAACCACTGCCCCCACCAGTCCCCCATCCGGAGTTGGGGAGGAGAGGGAGTCGTTTGCCGGCGGCGAGGAGGAGGGAGGGGGGGTGTTCGAACTGAGAGTGACCACCCCGTCTTTTCATGATGGATCTGTGGGGGTGGCGGGTTTGGATCCCCCAGTGAGCCCCCAAGTTTTTGAGGGAGGGGACGGGTTTGAAACCCCCAGTGGCCCCCCCTGGTTTTCTGCCACCAGCGGCAGAACACGCTCTACCGATATTCCGACAGCCCGATGCAGTCTTACTGATCGCATGGCGCTGTTGTGCATCCTTGCGCAGCCGATCCCGTCTGATTCCGGCCTTGTGTCTATGCGGCTCGTTTCGATGCACCTGTCGCGCCGATTCGATTTCCCGATCCGATGCTGACTGATCCTGCCCCTGTCCCCGCCTCCTGCTCTTCCTCTGCAGCAAGGCCGGCTGTGCCATGCCAAAGGACTGGTGGGCAGTGGAGGCAAAGTATTTGGGACGCGCAGCAGACTGCCAGAGAGCACGGGGCCGCCGATCACACGGGTCCAAAAAACGATGGAACCGCGAGATGCAGGCCTCGGAAGAAGTTAGCGAACACATGCCACATTCATCCGTCAACGCCTCCCCCTCCCCCCAATGTTCAAAGTTGGCGGTGGGTCTGAGGAGATGTACTTCGACCGCAGTCTCCCCCGCGCGTGCCAACATTGAGTTTGGGGGGGAGGGGGAGTGTTCAGTAATTGTTTCCCTCTGCAGTATGACAGTTTCTTTTGGATGCCGGATATGATGTGGATTGGGCAGATTGGCTCTACGCTGCTGCAGACCACAGCGTGTGGAAGGACTGGGATACATATTTCTGCACGCGCTGAACTTACGCATTACGTGCACATAATTTCTGAGGGCTGCGGCCCATTCCGCCCATCCTTCCAGGGACGCGCTCCGGCGCGACGGTGGCGGTTCGTTCGGTCGTTCTCTTCCGTTGTGCATTCCCTCGCGCTCCAGGGGATCCGCTCCCCATGAATGGGAGAGAAAGATGGGGGAGGAGGACGAGAGCACGAGAGCAATGCCAGAACGCATCAGCCATGCTACAATCCAGTCAACGCGCCTAGTCAGGACGCGCGCCTTCACCAATGGTACCCTTGTGTCCTTGCGGTGTTTTGGCTTTGGACCCCGACGCCAATTCGGCAAGGAGGGCGTGAGTTAGGGTACCCTTGCGTCCCTGTTTTTTTGGCGCCCGCCGCCCCCGACAATCCAAACTTCGACCTCCAAGGGTCTTGCGTCCTCACCACCCGTCCTGGGTCCACGTTTTGACTGTACACCCTGCCGTCTCAAGCCCCCGACTCTTCTCTTTCTCGAAGATGAATAGTGATAGTGCTCGTATAAGAAGAATCATATGTTAGCCAGACCCCAAACAACGATGTCTTGCAATATATGCGGTGCAATCCAGCTTGTGCAATCATTGTGGTACAATCCGTGCGGTGCAACTTATGTGGTGCAGACAAGGCAATGCAGATCGGTGCAAGCCGACACAATGCGACGCAAAGCAAGGAACAGCAATGCAACATAATGCAAAACCATGCAGAGTTATGCAAAGCAGTGTAATATGACGCATGCCAATTCAAAGCTTTGTAATACAGTGTTCAGCAGCGCAAAGCAATCTAACTAATTGCAAAGCAATGCAAAACACTGCGAACCATTGCGAAGCAATGTGACGCAATGCAGCGCAATGCGAAGCAATGCAAGGCAATGTAACGTAATAGAACCGATGCAAAGTAATGCGGAGCAGTGCACACAATTTCAGAGCTGCGCAAATCAATTTAATGCAACGTAAAACCATGCAAAACAATGCAAAGCAACTCGATGCAACGCGTAACAATTCAAATCCATGCAGAGCAATGTAATGCGATGCGATGAGATGCGAAACAATGCAAACCAGTGCAAAGCAACGCAAATCAAGCAAGAGCGTGGCGACGAGCCAGCCGAAGTGAAATTGGGGCCCGGCGGCGACGGCGCCGACGGGTGGCGACGAGCTGGCTGAACCGACGCTGGGGACCAGTACCTTAAAACACAAGTAAGAACCTCTGAATGCGGGCACTGCTTGGGGATTTTTTCCCAAGCGGTGCTTGCACTTAGGGTTCTTATTTCTCTCCCAAGGGGCTGGGCCTTGGTTTCGGTCTGGCCAGCTTGTTGTCGCCGTCGCCGCCCGTCGCCGCGGTCCGTCTCCGCTGTTTCTGCGCTTGGATGTCGGTTGCCGCGCTTGTTGTCGCCGTCGCCGCCCGTCGCCGCCGTCCGTCGCCGCTGCTTCTGCGCTTGGCTGTCGGTCGCCCTGTTTGTTGTTGCCGTCGCTTCCGTCGCCGCCGTCCGTCGCCGTTGCTTACACCGCACGCTCACAGGTCACAGGCTCGCACGACATAGATTTCACCACATAGGTTACGTCACATTGCTCACACTACATGAGGTCCATTTTCTAAACAAGTTTTCATGTCTACCCCCCAGGACTCAACGGGTCACTTTTTCGCATCACAATTTGCATGTGTTTTTTCCTATCGTCCATCCAAAGCACGATTTCGTAGCATCCCAGGCAGACGCTTATCGACTGCCCCCTCATCCGCTGCCACAAACGCTATGCGCGCGCCCGTTAATCAGAAACCATCAATTTTCAAGAACCCCTTGCAACAAAAAGGGACGAAGTGCACTCGCGCGCGCCGTCGTGCGCGCATGTCGAAAGCAATTAGGACACCTCAGATGTTGTGAAGATATCAAAATCGAGTGGCCCGAGAATCAAAGGTGCCGCAACATACATTTTCAAACAAACAGGTGCTCGCGCGAAGCCGTCTGTTTTCAACACTTTTCTCAAATGCTACAAAAAAGTGTCTCTCGCGCGCATGTCGAAATCGTTCGAACGCCCTGGCGTGCGTGCTGTCGCAAGACTCCCTTGCAACAAATGGGGACGAAGTGCACACGCGCGCCTCGTCGCGCTCGCATGACGAAATTCGTCAACAACTTTCGTTTTCGTAAGGAGGTTACACTCGGCATCGACGCTGGTATAATCCGCGGCAGCACAGGGGCCCCACTCCAGCACACACACAGTCGCGCCCCGAGGAGGGAGGAGGGAGGAGGGAGGGAGGAGGGAGGAGGGAGGAGGAGGAGGGAAGGAGAGAGAGAGGAGGAGGAGGAGGAGGAGTAGGAGGAGGAGGAGGAGAGGAGAGGAGGAGGAGGAGGAGGAGGAGGAGGGAGGAGGAGGAGGAGGAGGAGGAGGAGGAGGAGGAGGAGGAGAGGAGGAGGAGGAGGAGGAGGAGGAGCATCGGCGCCGGTATAATCCGCGGTAGCAAAGGGGCCCCACTCCGGCACACTTAGTTGCGCCCCGAGGAGGCTGCGAGCCTGGAGGAGCAGGCCAAGGGCAGGGAAGCAGAGGCCAG